GAGGCTCTTATTTCATGTTATTTTTTTCCTGCACATTATTTTTATTTTTTATTTTCTTTTTTAAGCAAGTAAGTAGTTTTATTATAAGGAGGCTCTTATTTTAAATCAAATGCTTTAAAGGATCTCATTTTACACAACCTGTACCAAGAGAAAAGTCTGTGCAACCAGCCACTTAGAATCATATCACATGAAGATCTTTTGTCCAAAGCAATGAAAAGTATATTGTATGCTATTATATGCTACATGTAATTTGGAGAAATCTTGCCACTTGGAAATGTCAGAAACAATGTTCTGTGCTTTCCATAGAGAAAAATCCTGTATACTTTTCAGATTCTTGTAACTCATAAAATATTGAACTATGATTCATGAAGTTACAGGGCAAACCAACCCACAAAAAGATGTGTCGGAGATGGTGGAGGAGGTCATTATAATTAATCAACAGCCCATTACTGGATATTAGCAATAATCTTAAACAGCTAACATAATAAACACATTCAGCCTATATAATGAAAGCTTTAATTCATTCATCAAACCTTTACTTAATTATTTGCACAAAGAAGTGATGATAAAAGTTTAAACTTCAAACTTCAATATCCTATCAAAAAACATTTTCAAGCAAGGTCATAATTAATCATACATACAAATAAGAAACAAAGTCATAATGGCTAATTCATCTTTTCCATTTGCATAATTCTTGGTGATAAACTGGGATGCATAGATTACTTTTTAAAACATGGAAACAATCTACCACACAGTAGCAAATGAAAAAGTACATTATAAAGCCTGATTCACAGATATGAAACTAACAGAATCAGTTCTCCAAAAAGAGAAAAATATCACAATATCGTATTTTACCTGCAAATTTAAACCTAAAAATGTATCAGTCCAACTTTACTTGCTTAAAAATATTGAAAAGCACGAAAAGGACTAAAGATGGGAATAGTTTAAACTATCATGTTCAAATTTTTATATTAGCTGAAAAATAAATGCTTCATCCATCATATGAGATCTCAAATTATTAATTTTGTGGTCTTAAATTTTTGTCTACTAATTCTAGGGCTTTTTTACCTTCAATTTTTAGTTGGTCAAGTTTAAAGTGATAGATAAAATTTAAACGGTCTTTTTCAAGTTTCTTACAATTTGATTATTTGGTAAAGAGAACTTAAGGACTAATCACTTCAGTGTTGTTACTTTTGATAAATAAAATAATGTATCAACCATATTTTGGGTTAGTTGACTGAAAGATAGTAGCTCTATGAAACATTATTTACCTATACTGTGATGCACTTTGATATTATCTGTTCCATTCTATTCTATTTAATTTTTAGAAGACCCACTAAAGTGATGGGCTTGAAAACCCAAGTTTCAAGTGCTGCTTGAAAACCTCAGACTTAGTCATCCCACATTTAAGACTCTAGGTGCAGATGTCTAATTTTGAATCCCAGGTCCACTACCTCCTAGCTCTGTGATTTTGTGCAAGTTCCCCATCCTCTTTGTGACCCAGCCTCCGCATCTGTAAAAAAAGGATAACAGGGGCCGACCGAGTGGCTCAGTTGGTTAAGAGTTGGCTTAAGAGCATGCGCTTAAGGGCCACCAGTTCGATTCCCACTAGGGCCAGTGACGCTGAGCCTGAGCTGAGCTGTCGCTGAGCTGCCAATAGGTGGCAGGATGACTCAGCTGGTGTAACAACAAGATTGCCTGTTTCGATGGTGGGCTATGCCCACCCACAACTAAGACTGAACTTGGCACCTTGAGCTGAGCTACTGCCCAGATGGCTCAGTGGATAGAGTGTGAGATCTTAACAACAAGGCTGCTGGTTTGACTCCCGCATGGGATGTTGGCTATGCCCACCTGCAACTAAGATTGAACACAGCACTTTGAGCTTAGAGGCCACGAGCTGCTGACAGGAAACCAGACGGCGACTGGCGCCCTCCACAATGAAGATTGAAGAACAACAACTTGGCTGGTCCCTTTCCCCAATTCCCCAACACTGTTCCCCTCCCCCAATTCCCCAATAAAATCTTAAAAAATAATTTAATTTACAAATTATAAAAAAAAAAAAGGATAACAGGACATACTTCCTAGGGTCATTGTAAGAATTGGTGGTTATACTGTAATAGTTGTAAAGCTTGTATCAAAATGCTTACCACCTGATAACCTCTCCATACGAGTACATATCATTATCATCATTATTATTATTGATCACTCACCACATGTTTTCTGAATGCCTGTGTACAGTCCCTGGTACCAGGCACTCTCAGGCATTCCAAAGACACACTGCTCTCATGACTCACGTTTTATTTGATTGATAAATTGTAACCATGATAAATTGGCTTTTATATACATTAGTGAGCTATAATGGTTGTCACTTCATCAAAATAGTGTTTCCCTATGTTTAAAAACAAAAAAATATTCAACTTCTAAATAATTACCAAATAGCTACCACTCAGAGTCAAAGAATAATTTTGTCACAGAAGGTGCTTATCAACCTCATCAAGTCACTCTGAAAGGAGATTCCAGCATTCAAGATTTATTTGCAGATGTTTACAGTCTCTCCCTCAGGTGAGGAAATGTGTTTGAATGAGACATTTAAAACCTTGATCGTTGTCTGTAGAATTTTTACTCATTCAGATTCACACAGCTTGAAGCACCTCATTTGATATCTACAGAACTAATTATATTATCAAACAATGACTTTTTTCCCTTTTTTTAGAATGTTTCAGGAAGAAAAAAAAGATATTTCTCCCTAAAGTCAAAACCTTCTGAACAGACATTCAGAATTTTATTACTTAGCATCTATATCAGCAATGTCAAATTCTTTATAAGATGAACAGAATAAAAGTAATTCCAGAATTTTAAGTTGTGTATTAGTGTTGTTATTTTTATTTTGGTAAGACAAACAGAATCTGTTTTTTCATCATTTGAATTCTATTATCTTTGGCCAAGTATACTAGATAGCTATTATTAGAATAGAAACTCCCTAATAACATTATAATTCTGAGAGTACCACTATCCGAACGGTTACCCAAAACTGATTTCTAGATGATTAAGGCAGCCAATGAGTTACTGTAAAAATCACAAAAATTATTAATAATATAGAAACTGATATTCCTCAGTTTTCATATTTGATTTTGATCCTCTGCCAAAACTACACTCTTGCTTATTTTTTTTGTAAAGTTCCTTGAGGCTTCTCCTAAGTAGAATATGTCATGTGGTAGCAGGGAGTGGTACTGGGAAGTTGGGTAAGGTAGAATGAAGACCGTGTGGCCCCGCCATGTGTGGGCAGATGGAGAGATCTCCCCAGAGTTTCAAGATTTGATTACCCTGTACAGTAAAATTGTATCAATAGGTAATAGGACCTATTCGTAGAGGGAACCACCCTAAAAATGGTTAATAATCTGTAGCTTGAAGAGATCTGTGAAGATCTAAAGTAAATATCTGTGAAGATCTAAAGTAAAGAGGATATGGTCTCAGCGAAATATAAGAGAATGTGCAAACCAAGTAAATTTATATTAGGGTCTATATGAATATAATTGGTGATGAATTGTTGTTTGGGCTTATCTAGTCATTCATTTAACACTCAGTCACAGTCATTATTCTCAACAATTATAATATCTTCCTAACCTTTCAAGAGCAGCCAGAAATTTTTTTATTTTTTTATTTTATTGGGGAACAGCCATGGTCATTGGTTACACATTGCTTTCATGCTGCAATGGCATAGTAGACTCTTTTAGGGAGGGCCCAGCTCACAGTGGCCCATGCGGGAATCAAACTGGCAACCTTGGTGTTATCAGCACCACACTCTAACCAACTGAGCTAACCAGTCACTCCCTGAAAGATTTTAAGAAATGCAAATCTAATCAATTCTATCTCCTGCCTAAAATCCTTCAATGGAGACCCATTTTTTTTTTTTTAAGATTTTATTGGGGAATTGGGAAACAGCCAAGTTGTTGTCCTTCAATCTTAGTTGTGGAGGGCGCAGCTAGCTGAGCTCCCAAGTCCAGTCACCATCCGGTCGCCTGTCAGAAGCTCGCGGCCGCTTAGCTCAAGGTGCTGTGTTCAATCTTAGCTGTGGGTGGGTGTAGCCCACCAACCCATGCAGGAGTTGAACTGGAAACCTTGTTGCTAAGAGCACACATTCTAACTGCTGAGCCATCCTGCCACCAGCTGGCAGCTCAGCGGCAGCTTAGCTCTGGCACAGCTCACTGGCCCATGTGGGAATATAACCAGCAACCTGTTGCTCAGAGCTCGCCCTCTTAACCAACTGAGCCACTCAGCCGGCCCCCGTTTTCTTTTTTTAAATAATTTTTTATTTTTCAATTACAGTTGACATACAATATATTAGTTTCAGATGTATAACAGTGATTAGATATGTATAATTTACAAAGTGATCAACCCAATAAGTCTAGTACCCATCTGACGCCATACAGTTATTACAATATTATTGACTGTATTCCTATGCTATACTTTACATCCCCGTGACTATTTTTATAACTGACAATTTGCACATCTTAATCCCTTTACCTTTTTCACCCATCCCCCCACAAGTATCAACCAGACAAGTGCCAAGTTTCATCAAGTCTACCTCTAGGGCCACTGCAGAGGTTTCTCTATTCCTCACTCCCTAAAAGTCAGCTGACCTTTTGGCTCCCAAAGGCATAAAACTTTTTCTCTTGGGAAGGTGGTTCCCTCTGTCTACAACAGTTTCCCGTAATCTTGGTAAAACTAATCCAATTGATTTTCAGTTTTCTCTTTTTAAAAATTAGTTCCTAAGGGAGACTCCCAGATTAGCCCTTCCCTGCAGGGTCTCATACTTTGCAGCGGTTCTCAATCTGTGGGTTGCGACCCCTTTGGGGGTCGAACGACTCTTTCACAGGGGTCGCCTAAGACCATCGGAAAGCAAAAAGATATTTACATTATGATTCATAACAGTAGCAAAATTACAGTTATAGAGTAGCAACGAAAATAATTTTATGGTTGGGGGTCACCACAACATTAGGAACTGTATTAAGGGGTCACGGCATTAGGAAGGTTGAGAACCGCTGCCTAGACTGTCAACAGGACATGTCTCTTTAATGCTTAGCAGCAAGTAGAGTACCTGGCCAAATAGTAGATCTTTGTTGAGTGAAGGAGTACCCATTTATTGTGTATCCACTACAGCCTACTATATGCCAAGCAATGTGTTGGGCACTATGGGGACACAGCTGAGTAAGATGGGGTGTCTACTTTCCAGGGATTGGACTTGCAAAAAAACCTGCTACCACAGAGCCTAGGGGCTTTGAAGGGAGGTGGGTACCAGGTGCCTTGGGAGGAGGGAGGAACAAGTTACAATAGTAACTGTCAGAAAACATGAAAACAAGCATTTTCACTTGGCACATGGCAGGCTCTGAACTAAAACCTATACAACATTATCTCCCTCATTCAATCCTCATGACAACCGATGTAGTGGTTAAGGATCTTGCCTAAGGCCACAGTCGGTATTTCAATCCAGTGTGTCTAGGTCTTCTGGCTCCAAAGTAGAAAGCTACACATAGATACACAACAGCTGACACAATGAGTTCCTGTGAATACGTCCAGCCACTTCACCATGCCCTGTTAGCAATTTAAAAGGGGCCCAAAATAACCAAGTTAAAAATTGATTTAAAATTTTAAAATGTTGAGTATGTAACTCATTTACATGTTCCTCCCCATGGTTCCCCTCCCCCCCAATAGAAAATGCATTCTTGCAGTTCAAACATTTAAAAAAATAAGCAGGTTCAGTTAAATTTTCCTACTCCTGTCTCCCATTGGCTCACACCCAGACTACCAAAGGTAATTCCTGTTATAAGTACTTTGTGCATTTTTCCAGAATTTCTTTATGAATATGCAAATAAAAATATATGTTCTTATTTTGCCTCCTTTTCCCCCCACAAAAGGTAGCAGAATACCAATACCATATCCACTGTTCTGCACATTGTTTTTTTGTTTTTAGCTGAGCCATCCTGCCACCTGTTGGCAGCTCAGTGGCTGCTCAGCTTGGGCCAGGAATCAAACTGCTGTTGTTCAGAGCTCACACTCTTGAGCGAACTCTTAACCAACTGAGCCACTCGGCCGGCCCTGCACATTGTTTTTTTCAGTTAATGATTTTGAAGATCTTTCTGTATCATTAGCTCATCATTCTTTTTTGGCAGCACAGTATTCCATTTCATAGATATATTACAATTTATTTAACCAGCTCCTTATTGATAGACATTTGGATTGTTTCCATTTTTTTGCTATTACAAACAATGCTGCAATGAATAATCTTGTACACAGGTCAATTAACACGTGTGCAAGTATATCTGAAGGATAAATTCCTAGGAGTGGTATTGCTGGGTCAAAGGGTATATATATTTGTATTGTAATTTTGATAGATATTGCCAAATTATCCTCTATAGGGATTAAATTCCCATCAGCAGTGAATGAGAGCACCTGTTTTCCCACAGCCTCTCAACACACAGTGTTAACAAACTTCTGGTTATTTGCCAATCTAAAGGCTGAAAAACAGCACCACAGCATTTTTCTCATTGTAAGTGAGGTTGAGCATTTGTTTTTATATGTTTAACACTTCATATTTCCGCCTCTCTGAACTATCTATTCACATTCTCTGTCCATTTTTCTCCTGTAGGTCTTTTTCTCTGCATTTGGTAGGAGCTTTTTCTATATAAGGAAGATTAACTTCTGCTTATGATGCTTATAAATTGTGGCCACTTTCCTATAATATTGTGTTAGAAGTGCGAGGCAATGCAACAAAACATGTATTAGATATGATATAAAAATATTCAAACAGAGAAGGCAAATTATCATTATTTGAACACGGTTATATAGCTAGATAACTTTAAAAATGGATTGAAATTAATATTGTGTTGTCAGAAAAGTCATGATAGTCATGATATATTTTTTCTATGTTCTTCGTTGCTAAAATGCATCATGACTTTTCCGACAACCCAATAGTTAATTGAATATCTCCAGATAAAGGAAATGGAAAAGAGTGCTAGGTCCAAGAAGAAGATATGAGATTATATACACACATTAAGACCATTTCTATTTATTAGGAATAAGAAAATATGATGAAAGAGAGGCTTTGTTCACAATAACTGCAAAAAATAAAAAGCACCTAGAAGTAATTTTGACAAGGAAAGGGTATGACTTATATGAAGAAGAATATAAAACTTTTTTGAAGTCCTCTAAAGTCTTCTATTTTTTTCATATAGCTCTTTTAATAAAAGAGGACTTGAATAAATGGAAACACAGACCAGGCTACTGGATGAGGAAATTACGTATTTGGAACAGGTCATTTATCAAGTTATTTTATTGGTTTAATGCCATTAAAACAACAGAAAATAATTTAAAATTTGAGAAAGTATTAAATTGATGTATAAAATTAAAAATCATGGATATACACATATACATAATTTAATTCTAAAAAGGAGAGTCATGAAGATAGATTCCACTCTGATGTTAACATATATTATAAAGCAACAATTATTTTAAAAGTGTGTTATACACTAGAAACTAATAAAAAGAAAAAAAAGTGTGGTTTAAGTGCAAATTAAACAGATGAATCAATAGACCAGATATATACCCAACTGTAAATAAAAAGACGATATATTATAACAAGAGGCAACCAACATAATTGGGGAAAAAATTATAATTCTAATAAGGACTAATGCTTATGTAATATATACTCTCTGACTGGCACTCCTAAATTCCTTATGTATGTCAATTTAATTAATCCTTGTTTCAATCCTATGAGATAGATACTACTTAACTGTTGAGGAAACTGAGGCACAAGGAGAGTAAGTAACTTGTTCAAGGTCATAAATACAGTTAGGAAGTGGTAAAGCAGGGCTTAAACCCAGGCAGCTTGGCTCCAGGGTATGTGATCTTAACCATTTGTAATTAGGATAACTAATTGCCAACTTGTAAAAAGCAAAAAAAGAATACAGGCAGGAAATACTGTACTGATGTATATTTGAAACTCCACTATAGAATGTCAAAAAGCCTCTCTCATGTAATTCCTTTGCTTTGCTTTCTACATTTCTGTATTGTTTGAAGTCTTTTACAATTATAAATCCTTTTCTAATTTAAAGAACAAAATAAATAGGATATTTTGAATTTTTAATCATCTGTGGTTATGCATAAAATTATTTCTTACCCTGGTTATTCAGTTGAAATAATATATTATCTATTCTTTCTTTTCATTCCTATTTCAGGCATTGATGACCTATCTTCATTAAAAATGCATTTATTAATCTCCTACTGTTCACCCTGAGTAAAAATGGACAAGGTAAGTCCTATATATTAGGATATTTGGGACAGTGTAGAAGTAGAGAAGGCATGTGAAAGTTATTAAAAACAGCAGGCTATTCAGCCAATAGAATTGAATAAAGGTTGTCAAGAAAAGAAAAATAGAATAAGCTAGTAAACTTAAACTATTATGTAGACTATGTATAAACTATTCTAGTAAACTTAAAGTCTATTTATCAGCAACATTCACTTATTTTTAATTTCTACACATATTCCTCACACACCCCTGCCACTCCTTTCTTCCCATAGAAATATGAAGAAAGTCATTTATAAAACTGAAATAGTAGCTCCAACCTTTCACTAACGTACTCATAGTTTTGTTAAGTACCTCAGGTGTGGGTTTGGACATGAGTTACAATCAGAAATGAAAAAGATACTCAGTACATTTATTTGGTTGTGGGATGGAATTTTTAATAAATGAGGAAATATTTAGAAACATCAAATTCATATTTTAAGTCTGTAAAAACATTATCTGACTACTAAAACATCCGATTACTCAGTAAATGATAAAAGACCCATTGAATAATAATGTCTTAACCTCCATCGCATCAGAGAGACAGAATGACCCAGCTTCTGAATCTGTTAGGTTTTGATCACAGTTAGTCCCTTTGAATAAAGCGTCATGTTGACAGACTCATCTCTTTCATTTTTACTTATATCAGAAAGCTTACAGGTTGATTCTTAACTGTGGGTTATTTTATTTATTTATTTATTTATTTATTTAAACTTTATTGGGGAACAGTTTGTTTTTCCAGGACTTAACTGTGGAATTCTTTAAAGCAAACTTTTATGAGAAAAAAATTAACAGAATACTAAATTGTTCATCAGGTTTATGCCTACTTTGAATGTTGTAACTCCTTACGTTAAGAGGAGGCGGGCAGAGGTAGCAGACAGAGCACTGGAGGTAGAATCAGAGAAAACGTGACCTAACTGTGCCCTCGGTCAGTGTAGGTCTTTTAAGTTGTCATGCCTGCGCCTTTCAGCCCCACATTTCTTATGTATGAATTATAAGGCTGTCTTACATCAGACTGCTTAGCAGGACAACTGAGCAGGTGTATGTGAAAGTAACTTCAAAAAGATAAAGTGTTCTACATTTGCCTCACATTATGTTTAAGGCCTTCTTGTCAATATTGTTGTCAAGATATATGACTGGGGTCAGCCGAGTGATGCATTGGTTAGGAATTGGCTTGGGACACCAGCTCTGAGCAGCAGGGCCCTGGTTCGGATCCCACATGAGGGTCAGTGACGCTGCAGCCTCTACAGCTAAGATGGTGAACAACAGCTCGACCTGGAGCTGGGCTGCCATGAGTCGCTGGCGGTTGTAGGCTGCAGTGGGGCTGGTCGGCAGCTGGCGTGCGCTTTCATGAGCCGCGGTGAGCGGCCGTCCAATGGCCGGTGAGCGACTGCCTCACCCAGCAAGAGCGCACTGATAATACCAACATGGGCCAGTGAAGCAACATCCTCCACAACTAGACTGAAGAACAAAAGGACAGCAACTTGTCTGTTTCCCTTCCCGGATTCCCCAATGCTGTTCCCCTCCCCCAATTCCCCAATAAAATCTTAAAAAAAAAAAAAGAAAAGATATATGACTGAGAAAGTTGCTTTGTGACCACCCTCTCCTGCCATTATCCTATCCAGATTCTGCTCTCTCTATCATGTGGTACTCACTGCTCCCTGAGAAATATTCTAGGCTTTCTCTCTCCTTATGTTTGGGCACAGTAAATAACTTTTTTTATCTTAAAACATTTACCCACTATTCTTCTAGAACATCATTCATGCCTGGTTTTCCTCCTATTTTAGTTTCCTTTTCTGGATCTTTCTCTTTTTCCAGATCTCTATTGGTATTTCCCAGCTTCTAAGACTTCTTTTCGGATTCTACACTCATTTCCTTGGTGATTTCATCAAAGTCACAGGCTGATGAATGATAGGCTCTACATGATCTCCCCCTGTATGTCCCTGATTTAATCTCTTGCTGCATTACTGGCTTACTCACTCATTTCTAGCTACAAAGGCCACCTCAGGGCCTTTGCACTTGTTGCTCTTCCTTCCACAGTTCTTCTCTTACTTCACTCAGGTCTCTTTTCAAATGTCATCTCTTTTATGAGTCCTTTCCCTGACCATCTTATCTAAAATGGCACACACCACCCCAGACCCTCTCTCATCCCTTATCCTTTTTGTCATTTATACATTCATTTCTTTACTTGTTTATTATCTCTTCCCACAGGAGAGCACAGACTTTTCTGTCTTGTTTACTACTACATTTC